TGGCTGTCGAATATACTTATATTCGACAGCCAATGGTTGTCGATTATATATTTATATTCGACAGAATAAATTTCTGTCGATTATAGTCTTTTTCGACTACCGTTTTTACGACATAAATGCTTGTCGATTATGTTTGTCGATTAAGGTATAATCGACAGAAATTCTTGTATAATCAACAGTATTTTCTGTCGATTATACTATGTTTTTTAGTAGTGACACATTAACTTTTCTTTTTTGAAAAATGTTTGAGAATTTCTTTTACCTTAAAGATAAGGATTTATGTATATGTTATAGGCTATAATCTTATAATTTGAGATGGATTTTCATTTTATATTTTTTAATGTATTTTATAAAACAATAATTTGGATGATAAATAATTTGCAATTAAAAAATATTTGGGTTATGAAGTTTATTATATTGTTAAATTATTAAGTTATATCAAAAGTTTCTAGGATTGAAGTAGGGGCTTTACATTAAGTAAAAGGTTAAAAAAACGAAGCATATGATTTTAGGAGTTTTCCAAAGAAAAAAAGAAGAAGCAGAGTTCAATGATGTTACAGAAAATTAAATATATATTTGGTGTTGGAAAAAAATGAATTAGAGAGATTTTTTTTTTCTATTTAAGGGTTTTGGTGGCTTTCTAAAATTTTAATTGGGACTTTTTATTATGAATTTTTTTTAAAAAAATGACCAATGGTGAGATTAGATTTAATAATTTTAAAAAGGATTAGGACCATTTTTAGTGTAAGTAAAACGTTGGGACAAAATTTAGTATTTATGGTAAAAATTGAAAATTAAATCTGGTATTTACCCTTTTATTTCTTTTATTTTGTTGCAATATATGGTATTTTAGTTTTGTTTATTTTTTAAAAATTGGTACAACTTGGGATGGGGAAATGTAGAGAACTAGGACTTGGGCATTTCAAAAAAAAAAAAGAAAAAGGCACCAGTACTTGGTCTCTGAGTCTGTTCGGTGAAAGATCAATTTAATAGATAAAACTGAAGGAGAATAATTGTTGAAGTTTTGTTAGGTTTGTAACGTTTGTTAACTTCTACAATATTTAGTAGGAAGTCGGAATGAGTTTATTATTTAGGTTAAATTCCTAAGTTAGTCCCTCAATTATTGTTGGACCCTTGAGTTAGTCCCTTAATTAAAATAATTCATATTTTATTCCTTAAAGTTTCTAATTTTGCCTTCCAATTGGTCTTGTTAAAAATTTGCTGACATGTACCATTAATTGACGAAGAGAAGAGTGACACGTCCAAAACTGTTGACACTTAGGATTGAAAACATAGATAAATAATTGATGTGGTAAAAAAATTTTTAAAAATTCCCTTTTCTTTATTTTTTTTTTATGTGTTTAATTGTTTGACATGACATCCCTTTTTTATCAAGTAGCAGTATATGTCAGTGCTTTTTTAAGGAAGGGACTAATTTAAAGTCAAAATTAAAAATTTTAGAATTAAAATAAGGTTTTTTTAGTTAAAAGACTAATTTAAAGATTCATATAATAATAAAGGAATTAAGTTTTGGGTTTTATCTTTTTATTATAATATTGAGATGCACAACTATTAGTGTGGAATGTATTCAAGATACAACCT